GGAACAAAGTGAACAATGGAACAAATGACACTGCTGATAACGTGTCACGCGAAAAAGCCACTGTTGAATAAAAAACTCTACACGGTTTTGAGAAGGGGAAACAGTGAAGCCCTTGATGAAGTTACTACCACTGATGTGATTGTTACCAATAATAGGACATTTTCTGATGGAGCATATGATCCTCACGTGAAGAAGAAGCCAACGAGACAGAGACCAGTATGGAAGAAGAGACTTTGTTAAATTTTAGTTTTGTGTTTGTAAATTCTGTATATTTAATTAAGTTATTGTTTTTTAACTATTGGTTTAATGTAAGTGGCTATTGTTCGGGACGAACTATACTAAGGAAGGGGCAGTGTTACGACAGCAGAAGTCACGTGACGCCGGTACTTTGTCATGAGATTCTCGAAGGATCTTGACTTTTCCTGGGAACTCTAGTCTTTTCTAGGCGCCCTCTTTTTGTATATAAGCCCGACAAATAAAGTGGAGATAAATTGCAGATAGATAGATATAGAGATAAATAACTGAGTGAAGCTAATGGTAGTGACGGTAATATAAAGTGTTTGTTTTGTATCGAGATTGCAAATGTATTGACTGTGGAAGTTCTGTGTATTGCAAAATTGTATCGAGAAAGAATAAACTAGTTTTAATTAAGAAAAGACTTGTATCACTGAAATTTCTTGGAAAAAATTTTTTGAGAAATTATCAAACAAGCGGATACGTAACAGAGGTTAAACATTGGATATGTGAGCCAAATACTACTATTTTTGTCAGACCTTGAAAAGTCGGCAGGTACCAGAGGATTAGAAGTTAGCTAATGTAAAACCTTTTTTCAAAGGAGGTGATAAAAACTGTCACAGTAATTATAGACCCATTAGTCTTACATCAGTTATGGAAAATTTTGGAAAGTCTGTTAAGAGATGCTTTGCAAAGTCATCTAAGCAACAAAGTTTAGAATTTTATTGGATAGTCAATATAGTTTCACCAAGGGAAAATCTTGCCTTACAAATCTTTTGATATTTTTAGAAAGGGTTACTGCTTATGTAGATGAGGGTAAGGATGTAGATTTGGTGTATCATAAGAGGCTTGTAAAAAATTATTTCTATAGGTGTGGGTGATAAGACATTGAATTGTTGGAAAAAGTTCAGAGGAGGGTTAACTAGAATGGTGCCTGGGATGGAGGGTTGTCATATTGTTTTTTCATGAAAAAAGAAGAGTTAGGAAGATGTGATTGAGGTTGTTAATATTGTAAAGGGAATTGATAGTGTTGATGCATCATCTTTTTATACTTAACAATGAAAGTAGTAGAACTAGGCTTTTGGAATGGGTTGCCTTTGGATGTTGTAGAGGCTGCAAATTTAAGTGAGTTTGAAAAATTGATAAGTATATGAATGATAAGGGCTGGCTTTAAGATTTTTTAAAAATTATTTCAATTTAGTTTTGAGAATGGAACAGCTGAGATGGACTAATAGGTCCCATGTTGTCCCAAAACATTATGTTATATTAATTTACCTATGATATGAGTCTTAAACAATATGACAGAATATGAAATAAATCAAGAAGAAAAAAAAAGAAAATCAGAAGAACAAGATAGAATATTAATACAGGAGTTAAAAGAATGAGATGAAATATTTAAAGAAGAATTTCATACAAAAATAAATTTGGTTGAAGAGAAGATTGATGAAACAATTGGAGAAGCATGGAAGGATCTCAACAATAAGATTGAATAAGTGCAAAAAACATCAATGAAGTATGTAAAATGTAATGACAAAACTGAAGAAATACAAAAAGAGATTATTAAGTAGAAAATAACATCAGTAACAGAATAAAACATCTGTGAAAGGAATTGGTGAAAAGATTTAAACCAGCCACACCTCTTTCTGCATTTGTCTACGAATTCCAACTTAAAACACGATTTACTACAAAATAAGAGTATATGATTTGTTCTACAACCATTACCACTGCTACTGGGATGATTGTTACAACAAGTTCTTATTGGACTACTCCAGTCATATCACTGATGAATCCAGTTCCTGAATTTAAGCTGGCAATTTCAACAACATCATCCAACTGAGAAATGAACATACTATGATGAGATGGTACCATGGGTGGTATATCAGGCTAAGTTGAAAATAATTTCCAAAGTGAGCAGTAGAATAGTGAACAATAAACTATTTATCTTACTGTCCACTCACTAGAATCAGCTTTGATGACATTAATTAATAGTCCAGCTGAGAGAGGTAACAACTATCAAGCTTTGGTGACTGCCTTAACTAACAGGTTCAGACCGAAACACCAAAAGGAAGTATCTGAAGCAAAGTTTTGGAAGAGGGTACGGAGGAAAGAATAAACCTTAGCCATACTTTCAGAAGACATGGAAAGACTTTCCTAATTATCGTACCTGGATGCTCCACATTGAATGATAACTTTGTTCTCAAGTTACCAATTTATAGATGTCATAATATACAAGGATATGAGAAGCAAAGTAGGTGCTACACCCATTAAAGTTGCAGATAAACAACAAAAGTTACAGGAACAAGTACTATTGAAACATCAACTCTCTCTCTGATGGAGTGCTAGAAGAGCTTAAAAAATTAGACAACTAGACATACAGAATAGAAGAAATAAACCACTAAACAATAGTCGTTTCAGCTTGAAATTACATATTATCAGCCACTATAGATAAAAGCCTGTGGTAAATAAGAACTCCTCTCATAGAATACCAGAAAGATAGAACTATTATAGATGTGGAAATCAGCAGCTGTTATTAAGCGAAGAGGACAATACTGGGAAGCTGTGTCTCAAAACTTCACCAGATCAAAGGAATAAGAAAGAGCTAAGAGATATTGAAAAGACAAAAACTAGCTGGATTTATGGTGCAAAGTTCAGCTGGGAAAGGAAGTGCATTATTTGAAGAATATCATCCATGAGTTCACAAGTTTATCGATGGAAATACTTGCAGTATGCTGACTGACAGTAGTTCTACCGTTTCAACTATTTGACTCAATTTGTAAATGAAAGGTGGCAAATTGCCTCCAGAGACGAAGAAAGAAGATGAATTGATGTGAAGGAGGTGGGCATAAAGTTCCAGCAAGAGGTACGTTACCCTTACTCCAGGACAGGCCTTAAGACATATTTTCAGATCTAGGAGCCAGATCTGATATAGAAAAGTTATGGTATATATTTTGAGTTGATTGTGTGGTTATGGTATGAGACATACAGTTTTACTCTAAAAAACAAAGGGCTCATTAGTAAAATAGTAGACTAAATAACTATAATTTAGGTGGATTTTTACAAAGAATAAAAGTAAAATAACAAATAATCACTGTGATATCAATTGGTTAAGCAGTTTGTTTCAGAAAAGATCTAATCTATTCATCGTTACAACACTGTAGAGCAATAAGCAAAGGCCTTTTGGTGCGCCTAACCTAACTTCACTACTGTTTGTACCGGAAAATGGGGGCTACATATATTTCTTTACTTTCACAGCAAGAGTGCATGCAAACAATTACATTATATTGTTACGACAGCGGAAGTCACGTGATCTGGTAACATGTAATGAGTATCTGGAATGTTCCTGAAGGCTCGAGTGTTTGCGAAACGCCCTCTATTTTGTATATATAAGACCGGCGAGAAGTGACAGCATAGATAATGTAATTGCAGACAGAAAGATATATCGACAGATAATCGAGTCAAGCCGTAAGTAAAGTGCGTGAATCGTTGTGAATTCTAGCGTGTGTTAAAGTGATTGTGGAAATTAAGTATACTGCAAAGTTGAATTGAGAAAGAATAAATTAGTTTTATTTAAGAAAGGACTTGTATCGCTGAAGTTCTTCGGAAAGAATTTCTACGAAAAATTAACAAACGAACACAGAGACGTAATAATATCAACAACCACTCAATAGTATTGCCTGAATTAACTGCCTTTGGTCCTGTCCAAGTCTAAACATGTGCACTAAGTGGTTGAATTGGGAGAGAAAGAAGATGGTGTGAAATTAGTAACATGTTGTTCAACTGTAGTGCTTCGTTCAACGTTCGATTTAGGATTCAAAGAATGCAAAAATAGATCCTGACTGCTAAGAGTCCAGAACTGCCCTAGATTTGGATTCTATTTAACACATCCCTACGCACGATTAAAATGGGAGAAAATACTAGGTATGAAATTGTCTGGTGCCCGGGATTTGCCAAGGCCTGCCCTAGGACGCTTCTCTATGCCTCTTATTTAAGTATCCCTTGTAAAACATTTAGAGCTGGCTACAAGATATGATAAATAACATTTGATTTTCTCTAAAAGCCAAAGAGGATACACTATAAGAATCAAGAAAGACAAAATTTCTATATGAATCATAGTATATCTACAGATAGACAAAGGAAGTACTTATATAAAATACCTAACTAAACTAATAACGTAACGTCAAACTATTTATGGAACATTTCTTTAGCTAGTATTAACTATATATAATAATAAGTGAAAAGTAGGTAAATTCAGTGGTTTGTCATCTCTAGTCATCTAATACATTAAGGTAAGTTGGAATGTCTTGAATAGAGATATTGGGTTATTTTTAAACAATAAATCTGTCATTTTAATCCCTCTGTCTTCTCTCTTTAACTTAACTACTGTAACTGAGATCAGTTTTATTCATTTCTCATGAATAATAACAATGATAATTCTTTAAATGTCTAGGGGTTACAGATAGACTATACTTGATTTACTAAGAATGTTGTTCATACAAAGACAAAGGTAAAAAAAGGATAATATTCTTAATTCTAAAGTATTATAATTTACATTAAGTTGAATACATAATTCTACAAACTTTATCACTAAATAAAGCTAAAATATTTCATTTTCAGACCTTATAATTTATCCAATGAATGCCTATTTTTTCATTAATATATTTCTTTTGTAAATGAGACAACTAAAATACAACAGCGTATTTGTGAGACATTAGATTATTTAAACTTGTTACTTTGTGTAATTGTATATCAAGTAATCTTAACCATACCTGCAGCCATCAAGTTAACTGTTTCCAAAACCTGTAGAGCCCGCACCTGTCTTGTAAGAATGCATCTGTCGAGTTGGTTTGGCTGTTCACAGTCATTGGACTGGAAGTGAAAAGGACCAACTGACCATGAGCAAGCCACCGCATGTTACACAGACACACACACGTGTTTATATATATAATACTTTTAGTATTTTTTTTTCTTTCTCCATTGCTTTCATGACAAGATAATTACTAGTTCTGTTAAAACACTATCAATAACAAATTATGTTCTTATATGGAACTAAAACAAAAATTAAGCCATAAATAGTGGGCCATAATAAATTTCAATTAATTTAACTTGGATTTGCCACTTAATTTCTCTCACTCATATTTTAATAGTTTGATGGTTCCTAAATCAGCTGACATACCTTTATGCAACGAATAAAATGTGGTTTGGCATGAACTAAAGTTCTCAACAGATTATCAAGTCGAGTATGAAAGTCTTGAGTTAACGTAGAGACGGGTTCATTACCATTCTGCCTGTAAGTATGAAACAGAATTAACAATAAAAGTTCATTTGTTAAAATTTAATCTTGAGCTAACGTAGAGACGAGCTCATTACCGTTCTGTCTGTAAGTAAGTATGAAACAGAATTAACAATAAAAGTTCATTTGTTAAAATTTAATCTTGAGTTAACGTACAGACGGGTTCATTACCGTTCTGTCTGTAAGTAAGTACGAAACAGAATTAACAATAAAAGTTCATTTGTTAAAATTTAATCTTGAGTTAACGTACAGACGGGTTCATTACCGTTCTGTCTGTAAGTAAGTATGAAACAGAATTAACGATAAAAGTTCATTTGTTGAAATTTAATCTTGAGCTAACGTAGAGACGAGCTCATTACCGTTTTGTCTGTAAGTAAGTATGAAACAGAATTAACGATAAAAGTTCGTTTGTTAAAATTTAATCTTGAGCTAACGTAGAGACGGGTTCATTACCGTTCTATCTGTAAGTAAGTATGAAACAGAATTAACAATAAAAGTTCGTTTGTTAAAATTTAATCTTGAGTTAACGTACAGACGGGCTCATTACCATTCTGCCTGTAAGTAAGTAAGTATGAAACAGAATTAACAATAAAAGTTCATTTGTTAAAATTTAATCTTGAGTTAACGTAGAGACGAGCTCATTACCGTTCTGTCTGTAAGTAAGTATGAAACAGAATTAACAATAAAAGTTCATTTGTTAAAATTTAATCAGTATTCAGTAGAAAGTCATAATATAATGTAATGATATGTTGTAAAATAAACATACTGTTATAACACAAACATATTATTGTCAAATAAAAATATTGTTCTATCAATTTATTTTATGTAATTTCACACAAACATAGATTTGAGTAAAATTTTAAAATGTCTCAACATTACACCAATAATGACTATAACATTATGATGAAGAAATGAAAGGTGAAATTTTACAAACTTGCCATATACCATCTTAGTAAAATTTAAATTATCAACAAAATACTTCAAGAACAATTTAAAATATTACTTATTTACAGCTACAAGCTTGCAACAAGACAACTTACAGGTCAGTGTGGGATGTAGGAGAAATCCTAAAGGATACACCTCGAGGAACAGTGTCTATATTAAATACAAAACTCATGTACAGAATTACATGATGTCAAAACAGTGTTATGTATTAACTAAAACTTTGTATGTTAGTCAAAAACATTCTTATTTTAAAACATTGTAAAACTGAACTAAAGCTATGCTACTCAAATTCTAATGGAGTTGTTACATATCTGCTCGTTTCTTAATTTCTGGTATAAATTCTTTCCGAGGAACTTCAGAGATACAAGTCCTTTCTTGATTAAAACTAGTTTATTCTATCTCGATACAACTTTGTAATATACAGAATTTCCACAGTCACTTTAACTTAACAACCTTTATAACACACACACTATAAATCACAGCGATTCAGACACTTTACTTACGGTGCCTACTATTCGCTTGACTATATTATCTATATCTTCAATCTATGTGCATATCTATCTATATCTCTTCTCTCGTTGGCTTTATTTGTCGGGCTTATATATTAAAAAAAAAGGGAGCCTGACAAACATTAGGATATTCACGGAGTTCCTATAGGTCATGATCCTTCTAGAAACTCCAGCGTACATGCTCCAGCATCGCGTGACTTCCGCTGTCGTAACACTGCCCCATCCTTACTATTGTTCGTCCAGAATAATAGCCACTTACATTTCACCAATAGATGATTAACAATAACTTACTTAAATGTACAGAATTTACAAACAAAGTTAAAATACAACAGTCTCTTAATTTTATAAAACGTATTTTCTTCCGTACTGGTTTCTGTCTCATTGGCTTCTGCTTCACACGTGGTTCATCTGCTCCATCATGAAATGTCCCATTATCAGTAACAGTCACATCAGTG